GTAGCCGGACTCTTTCCTAACAGGGAAAGTCCAAACCTTTCCACATGCTTGTCTGAGCTTTGATAGTTCTCAACCAGGAGGCTCCCCATTCTAGCCAACTTATGCCCATTGATCTACAGTAGCTGAGCTAGGTAAATAATGGCATCATTCAGCATAGTAGTCAGGAATTTTGTATACAAAATACTTTACAGTTTACTTTGAAAGAGAGTCTCTTTCTTGAGAGTCCTGATGTTGCACGCATGTGCTGAATGCTCCTTTTTCAGTTTTCAGATCCACCCTGGAGGAAGAAGCAAAAGTCTGCTTGGTCCATTCATTGCCACCCCTGGTGTGAGGATGTGCTTCTTTGCAGACCCACTTGCTTGTGATGATAAGCTCTTAGAGAGTGGTTCAGCTAAGCACCTTTATCTGCAGTAGTCTCTAACTACTTTGCTTGCATCAGCTTAGTAACCTGATCCACGGGGTTGCTTCCCTCTAGCCTTGGCGTTTTTTCTGAAAGAAAGTCTGAGCAAACGCTGCCTGCTGCACAGGCAGTGCAGGAAACTGAGCCCTTGCTGCTGTTACGGTTGAGTAGGCAGTTCTTCCCTGCAAAAGCAGCTGCCTCCAGCCCAGGTGGTAGAGAGCCAGATGGCCGAGCCCTTCCTTCTTCAGATGGGCTGCGTATCGTGACAAACAGCGAGTTCAGCCACTGCGAGTGCCTGCGGGAGGGGAAGGGCGGGTGCTGGGGGCGGTTTTTTTTTGGGCAGCCCCTCCCACAGAGCAGTCGAGTATCTTTGTGCAGCTCCTGTCTTCACCGTTCCCTTCCTGCTGTGCTTCTCTACCGGCTCTATCCATGCAGAAACCCACTGCACCTGCCTATCGGTGTAATCCGGGGAGGAAGTCAGACTGGCAAACTCGTTCTCCTTCCCCTTGGATTTGTGGTGGAGGCTTTAAAGAAGGCACCTCACATCGTGCCTCCGGCTCCCCAGGAATTTCAGGGTGCTTCTTGCCTGCCCTTGCCAGCAGCGCTGCCGGGGCTGTGCCCGGCTGAA